ATTTGTAGAAATCATAGGTAAGATATTTAATGACACTGGATTTGGCAATGATTTCTTAAATACGAAACTAAAACTATAAGCAACAAAAGCATAAACCAGATTTCACCAAAATTAAAAATTTTGTGCATGAAAGCACTCAACAGAGTATAGAGAATAGGAGAAAATATCTGATAAGAGATTAATATCCAAAATTTTTTAAAAACTCCTACAACTCAACAGCAACATAAAAGCAAACCACCAAATTTTAAAATGGGCAAAGGACTTGAATAGAAATTTTTCAAGAGGAGATACACGAATGGCAAATAAGCACATGACAAGATGTTACCATTCTTAGTCATTAGGGAAATGCAAATGAAAACCACAATGAGATATCACTTCACAACCATTAGGATGACTACTATTTAAAACACGCACGCACGCACGCACACACACACACACACTCACACACAGAAAAGAACAAGTGTTGGAGATGTGGAGAAAGTAGACTCACGTCCACTGCTGTTGGGAATATGAAATGGTGCAAATGAAGTGGATATTATTATGGTGTTTCTTCAGAAAAATTAAACATATGGCTGAGTGTGGTGGCTCACACCTACAATCCCTGCACTTTGGGAAGCTGAGGCAGGAGGATCTCTTGAGCCCTAAAGGTTGAGATGAGCCTGGTCAACACAGCAAGGCCCTGTCTACAAAACTAACTAATTATCATATGACTTAGCCATTCCACTTACAGGTATATACCCAAATGAAAGGAAAACAGGGATATTACAGAAATACCCATTTATATAACATTCATATGGATATAAAATATCCATAATATAATATGTAAAGCAGATATTTGTATAGTACTGTTTGTTATTCACAACAGCTAAAAGGGAGAACAATCTTAAGTGTCTAGTAATGGATAAATGGATAAACAAAATATATTATATCCATACAATGGAATATTATGATACATGCTATGACATGAATGAACCTTGAAGACACTATGCTAAATGAAATAAACCAGTCACAAAAAGACAAATATTATAGTAATTTAAATGAAACACCCTGAGTAGTCTAATTCATAGAGATAGAAAGTAGAAGAGTGATTACTATGAGTTGAGGAGAGAGAGAAATGGAGAGCTTTTCTGTTTGTTTTTGAGACACAGTCTCGCTCTATCACCAGGCTGGAGTGCAGTGGCGCGATCTTGGCTCACTGCAACTTCCGCGTCCTGGATTCTAGCGATTCTCCTGCCTCAGCCTCACGGGTAGGTGGGACTACAAGCAGGCACTGACATGTCTGGCTAATTTTTGTATTTTTAGTAGACGCAGGGTTTCACCATATTGGCCAGGCTGGTCTCAAACTCCTGACCTCGTGATCTGCCCGCCTTGGCCTCCCAAAGTGCTGGGATTACAGATATGAGCCACGGAGCCCAGCTGCGAGTTATTGTTCAACTAAAAGAGTTTTAGTTTAGGATGATGGAAAAGCTCTGGACACAGATAGTAGTGGTAATGGTTTTAAGACAATGTGAATGTACTTAATGCCACTGCATTGTACAGTTAAAAACATCTAACATGGGGAATTTTACCTTATGCATACTTTACCACAATATAAAGAGATAATGTATTTTTTTCAATCCATTATAATGTTGAGAAAGTCTAAACTCCTAGGTAAAAGAGCCCTGAAACTTGCTAGGCCCTAAGTTCTTTATTTACAAAGCCCACACTGATCATCTTTCCCTTAAGAATATAAAATTCAAACAGAGAGGGTACTAGTCTTGATTAAGTCACAGAATCTAGAATAATATATGTGTGTGTATGCAATGAGTTTTGAGCCAGCGTAAGTATTAAGACTGTTAGCATCTTGTGTGTTCCCCACAAGCTATCGGTGGATTAAGTAATGCCAATATCTTATTTCAGATGAGATAATAATATATGGCAAAGTGTTTTGCAGGTTACCACACATTTAATGTAGTATTATTAATTTTTCTAAAGAAACAGTTATTATTCTGTTGCCTAGGCTGGAATGCAGTAGCATGATTACAGCTCACTGCAGCCTTCAACTCCTGGGCTCAAGTGATTCTTTTACCTCAGCCTCCTGAGTAGTTGAAACACAGGTGCGTGCCATCACACCTGGCTAATTTTTTAATTTTTTGTAGAGATGGGGTCTCGCTATATTGCCGAGGCTGGTCTCAAACTCCTGGCCTCAAGAGATCCTCCTTGGCCTCTCAAAATGCTGAGATGACAAGCATGAGCCACTGTGCCTGGCCCTATTCATTATTAATTATTATTATTAATAGTTTAAATACGTGGTAACTTGCAAAATCTTTTGCCATTTATTTCATTTGAAATTATTACTATGTTAAATACTAAATATAACAGTATTAATAATGTATTCTAAATATGTAATAAATGTTATTTTCCCCAAATTTAACTGCAAACAATTGCCAATTCCTTCCATTTTTGATCTACACAATATTAAACAGGTGAAGATTTTTAAACTGTACATGGTATTTCAAAGATTAAAGGCTTTGGAGTCAAAAGACTTAGATCTGAATCTTGACATTGTTATTTGCTTGCAGTTATGACCTGTAGTAAGTTATTTGGGTCTTTTCATTTCTTTTGTCTTTCTTCTATCTTTAATCTTACTCATGTCACTCCTTCAATTTTACCTCAAATTAGTGGAAAAATAGTGTTTCAATCTTACTACTTTGTGCCTCTGAATTAAGGGTGAACAAGACCAGGAAGCTCATGGAAATTCTGCCAAAAATCAAGCTATTCTCTATCCTGCTCCCACACCACCAAGGAACACAAGGTGAAGATTAATTGCCATTCCAACGTGGAGACATTTAAGTGGTAAAAATACCTAAAAAAAACTATTGGAAAGCAATTTTGCCAAAAAAAAAAAAAAAAAAAAAAAAAAAAAAAAAAAAAAAAAAAAAAAAAAAAAAAAAAAAAAAAAAAAAAAAAAACATTAAAAGGAATTATAACTGTTATATAATTTTTTAAAATTTAGCAGGTCAACGAGGTCAGTTCAGAATAAAAGAATTCTTGGTATTTTAGGGGTGGGAAGTAAAGAAGGGGTAGGAAGAGGGGAAGGGAAGAAAAGAACAATAAGTTCTACAGACTTCAATTTTTCTCTCTGTGCTTTTTCCAATAACCACAAAGCAGGACTTCTTGGAATTATGAAAAACTACCAAAATGCTTTTAAGTATGTTAAATCTAACTACACCATAATAAAACCATAGATAACAACCCAGATCTTAAGCAGTTTTATGAGGGAGGTACAGCAATATAACACAATGCCACTGATCTGGACTTCCTAATTCCACAAGACTATGAGCTCTAGAAGGGAGAAAGAAAACTTTTGTTGGTTTGATCACTGCTGTTTTCCCAGTGTTTGAAATTGAACAGTCCTCAACATATAACAGGAGTTCAATAAATAACTGTTGACGAAATTACCTCCTCTTCGAAGTGATCAGTTTTTCAATACATAAAAGGAAAAATATCCTTATTACTTTTGAGGGTGATTTATTGTATGGTTATTCTATAGTTATTTATGCACGGCTTAACTTTGAAAAAGAATTTAAAGCAATACAAAATATTATTTTGTATTTTCTTCAGTCCCCTTCAAAGTTTTATTCAGATTTATAATAATATTTGTATGTCTTCAGCCTTCTTAAACTTTACTAAGAGGAAAACTTGAATAAAAACACAAAAAGTGTTTCAATGTAACCATTTCTGACTCCTTGCTCCTCTCTTTGTCATGCAACAATTTCCCTTGTGGCATGAAGATAATAATTATGTCACATTTAATTCTGAAGAGGAGGAAGTTCCTTATTTCCTGGTGTATAACTGTTAATTAATAAAATTCTCCCAGGGTCAAGCTGCTCTTGCAGCTTCTCAGACAGCTGGTCATTCAATTATGTTCTCTGTTGTATAATTTCTTAATTTCCAAAGAATTTATTTCCGCTTTCTCCTTCTTAGACAGTTTTATAGCTTAGCACAATGCAAGTACTGTGCTATAGTACCTGAAGGCAATACAACTGTTCTTTTAAAATATTTGATAACTAGAATGCTTCACTAATATTAGCAAACCTACATGACTTACTTCATCAGAATTAACAAGATTTCCATCCCTTTGGAAAGTACTATCCTTCATTATCTCAACTGGATAGGCGGTCCTTAGGACAAATAACTAATTTGCAACTTTCTACAACTAGGTAGCTGAGTTCATTTCCATCATTCCTGTTCAGTGCTATTGCTATGGCAGCAAGTTAGGGGCTGAGATACATTATCCTTCCTCTGATAAATAAACAAGAAAAAAAAATCTTAAGACTTCAGCAGGGGAAAGATTAATTCTTTACCTCCCAAATCCATAAAGATGGTGAGAACCTCTGGTGCCATGATAATTTTGATTCAGCTATGTTATATAGACTTTTCTGTGAATCATCTTACGATTTTAACTTTTAAAAAAATACGAAAATGTTCTAAACTAGCTGAAAATTAGCTTCTTACACAATATGTTTTGTTCTAAATTGCAAGCTGCAAAAGCCTGATAGAATCAAGTATATCACAATATCCTATAAACACATAAATAAAATTTAATTGAATTCTGACATTTACTAATAATAGAACCTTCTTATATTTTGGGTTTTAATAAAAACAAGAGAATAACTTATCTTCTCACAAAAATGTATATTTTAATTTCATTACCTACTACTTATTGACCACTTCCATAATAAGATAACTAAAGCCTAAAATAAAGAGCAATTCAACAAAGATCACACGTAAAATTATGACGGGTGAGTCTAAATCCATTACATTTATATTTCATCTTGGTATCCTGCAAGTAACAATACAATCTGCCCAATATTATCAAATTAATAGGCTAGGACAATTCCTATATAGTATTTCGTGTGCTTATCAGAAGCACACAAAAATTTGGCAACGTAGTTTCAACAAACGATTACAACTACTTTCAAATATTCACTAAAATATGCAAGAAAAAAATAACTTACTGTCTCGAAGTGTTTCCCAAGCCCATTGGTCATTTTTGAAGAAGAGATGTCGTTTGATTTCTTCTACACCATTTCGACCTAATCTCACTTCTCTGAATAGAGGGAAGGAGAAAAGTAATTAATCATTTAGGATCTTATGATAACCTGCCCAGGTTTATTTGTGGGAAGAATATTAAATCTGTGCAGGATGACAAACACAGTTCTGATATTGTCAGCATAGTATCCACACACACACAGAAAATATGTTAAAGATTGAGAACATTAAAGAATTTTTTAAAAAAGAAAACTAAAGAGAGGCTGGGCACAGTGGCTCACCTTAGATCAGAAGTTTGAGACCAGCCTGGCCAATACGGTGAAACCCCATCTCTAGTAAAAATACAAAACCAGCCAGGTGTGGTGGAAGACACCTGTAGTCCCCACTACTCAGGAGGCTAAGACAGGAGAATTGCTTGAGTCTGGGAGGCAGAGGTTGCTGTGGGCTGAGATCACCCCACTGTACTCCAGCCTGGGTGAGGCAGAGTGAGACTCCATCTCCCAAAAAAAAAAAAAAAAAAAAAAAAGAGAAAGAAAACTAAAGAATAACTACAAAAAACACCCATAAATTTTCTACTGACAACAAAAAATCCAGATTAATCACCACCTTACTTAGTGAGCATAATGAATAAAGCACCATGCATTTTGACAGTTGTTTACATATGTGTATTTTTTTCTTACAGTGGTGAAGTTATGCTTTTCTTTCCCCAACCAAAACTTTACTTTGGCAGCAACACCAGATGCTACCAAAAACCTCCAGAAACTCATTTTAAATTTTGGACTTTGAATTTATAATCTGTTAATTATTTCTGACAAATCAAAAGCCAATCACTACTAATTCTTGATACTGCCACAGAATTCAGAGCTTTCACTAGACAAGTTACCAATACCCGCCTCTTTTTTGGTGAGCAAAACGTTTTTTTAAAATGTGATTTTAGCTGAATTGGAAAAAGAAAGTCAGCACCTATTTCTCCCTAGTGAGAGTGCTTGTAAATAAATACTCTGAATTCTAAGTTTTTGCACAAGCTAAAAGATAAGTTGGTTTAGACATCTGACAATTTCTCCAAGAAGCTTTCATGGACACTCAAACTGGATTAAAAAACCTCTCCATGGTTCTCTGGCACATGGTGCGTACCTCATAGTAATTAGTTGTTGGTACTATAAATGTCTGATTTGCTTATCTAACTTCCCCAAAGAACTATGAGGTATTTTGAGAAAAGCTGTGTATCTTGCTCACTACTGTATCCCTAGCACCTAATACACAGTATAGTACAATTCTTTATATTAAAATGTAAAAATTGGCAGGGTGTGATGGCTCACATCTGTAATTCCAGCACTTTGGGAGGCTGAGGTGGCGGATCATGAGGTCAGGAGTTTCAGATCAGCTTGGCCAACACAATGAAATCCTGTCTCTACTAAAAATACAAAAATTATCCGGGCATGGTGGCTGGCACTTGTAGTTCCAGATACTCAGGGGGCTGAGGCAGGACAATTGCTTGAACCCGGGAGGCAGAGGTTGTAGTGAGCTGAGATCGTGCCACTGCACTCCAGCCTGGGCAACAGAGAGAGACTCAGTCTCAATAAATAAATAACATGTAAAAATTGGCCAGGCATGGGTGGCTTACGCTTATAATCCCAGCACTTTGGAGGCTGACATGAGAGGAGTGGTTGAGCCCAGGAGTTTGAAATCAGCCTGGGCAACAGAGCAAAACCCTGTCTCTATTTAAGAAAAAATAAACATCTGAAAAACCATACTTCAAATTCTAAAGGACATAATGAAAAAAGACAAGTTAAAGGAAATCTCAAATTGAAACATATTTAAAAGTATTAGATCTCCCTAATATTTAACAATATACAATCATAAACATTAAGTATAATCTTACTAATTCATCTGGTTTACTTTCAAATTTCAAAAGTAAACCAAAGGTATATATAATATGCCATTTTTCTTTCAAAAATGCAGACATATATAATTATTAAAATGCTTGTTGAATCCGGACAATAGAACACCAACTATTATGTCTAGAAGAAAAAAGGTAGTATAGTTTTAAAAATGGCTTTATGCTATTGACTCTTTCAACAAGCATTTATCATACATCATCAAATCTAAAATGGTTTAAAGTATAATATATATCACCATTTTTATATCACTAGGAAAAAGAATGCTCTCAACTCATACTATTGACTGTGAGATGTGCTCTAATTTTAGAGATGTTAATATGTTTAAATTTTTTTAATTTTAACATAAATGTTTTTAAAAATTATGCTGTAATTTTTATAATTAACCAAGTTAAAAATTGAACAATAATAGAAAAAAGTCATCTAGTTTAGCCATCAACCAGGACTATATTGTTGTCATAATTCCTTAGGTATAAGTGAGTTGAGAGCCACAAAAGACATCTAAAATACCATAAAATTACATCAGGTTTCACTGTTTTATGCTTTTGAGAATGGTAGCATTTATAGTCTAACAATTTACATGTAGAAGCTCAGATATGGACCTTAAAAATGGAGCAGCAAGATGAGAGGTCCTCAGAATTAATACAAGTTCAATTTTAAAATTATTTACCTGTCAGTAAGGAAAGCACAAATAAGATTTTTTGCTTCTTTTGATATGTCATTATCATCAGGAAAGGTAAGTGAATTTTTATGGTTCATAATTTTACTGTAAGTTCCAACCAAAGAATCTGCATAAAAAGGTGTATCACCTGAAAAATTGATGGAGAAAACAAAAGGAAAATGAAATACACTTGAAGAGAGTCAGTTTCAAAGAGTCAAAGTTACCTGTTTAAAAAGATTAGCTATGTATTAAACTAAAAACATACACCTATTATCTGAAAAGAACACATCACAAAGTTGTTCTAAGCCTCTAAATGCTTTTAAAAACACATACAAAGTAGGTTTGGATCATGTTTATTTCCTACAAACAAAATAAACATTGCTTAATATAATAAATATTGTATTAGAAAGAGCCAAGTGGTAAGTTTTGAGATGAACAACTAACTATAATAGAGACATAAAATCTTCCTTTACTCACCTACAAGCATTTCGTATAAAAATACTCCAACCGACCACCAGTCACATTCTCTTCCATAATAACCATCACCACCTTGGGATTTTAATACCTCAGGGGAAATATAATCAGGTGTTCCAACCGCTGTATCACATCGTACCATGCCTTCCTAAAAAGAATGGCAGGTCAAATTTTGAATTAGGATATAAAGTCTCAATCATTTAAAATGACTTTCTTATTAATATAACCTATGGAATTGCAAATCTTTGAGCTATAAAATATCATATTATATTAAAACTTAATGCAAACCTGACAAAAATTAAAACAGCTTAATCATATATATATTACTATATACACACCACATACATATACACCAAATAATGTATGTGTGTATATACATGTGTATGCATATACACACATACATTATGTGTATTCACATACACACACAAAGCAATGATTTATATTTTGTAATAATGTTCACTAGAAAGACACATTGCCACCATTTATTATTCCCCAAGTTGTGCCAATATCATGATCTCAACTGCCAATAACAAGTACGTAAGCCAATGCAAATACACTGGGGAACTGATAGGATGAGGCATTTTATAACATATTGGTATAAACGCTGACTTAATTATTTTCTACTAAAATACCTATTTAACTACGTTTAAAACCACAAAGGAAACATACAAAAGTTGACTGTACAAATATAAAATGGAGAAGCATATGTATGGGAAAAAGGCATAATACTGTGTAAAGCACACTGAGTATCTATTTGATACGCATTTTAATGGCCCTCCCACACCAAACCTGAGGGACTTTTTACCTATATTAGCTGGTATTAATGAAACAGAATTATAACTAAATGTACACACAAAAGTTCTTATGCAGTGTTCCCTTCTAACCAACAAATTTTCTATTAAAATAATAAATACAACTTCCCGACTACTGTTCTGTGGTAAGTTTCAAAGAATATAAACTGCTTCAACTGAAAATAAAGTGGCCTACTTGCTCCTTCAGCTGTATATATGTTATTTATTATATAAATAGTGAGGATGGGTATCTTTTAAGACACTGCTAAAATAAGTAGTAAAATCTTTTATATGCTAACAGAAGTCAAGTAAAACACTAAAAAATACACACATTACTGAAATCCAATTTTTATGAAAATCTAATTTTAACACTGGCATAAGTATTTAGTGACATTTAAGCTAATTCCATTCCTAGTTGCCAGTAGTGTATATTAGAGTTGTTATGAAGGATTTAGTAAATCTGGGAATCCACATTTACCCTAAATAGAGAGGAAAAAATAAATGACTAACAAGTTACAACATTGAAACCATGGTATCTAGTTCAACAAATAATATCATATCAATTCTGGACAAATCCAGCTATGGTTAGTAAATTCTTAAACCATTTTCTAAAGCAGCATCCATCTTAAATTAGCAAAAACTAAATGAAAAACTAATTAATTAACCTTATTCATCTTCATACAAGTACCAAAATCTGCTAACTTCAAATGTCCAGATTTATCCAGCAGCATGTTATCAGGCTTCACATCTCTATGGGAGGAAAAAAATAGTACAGTATTTTCTGAAACAGATTAGACACTGTAAAAATTGTATGAGGCATTTATTTTAGGTCAAGTAACCTCAATCTAAGTAAGGCCATCTTTGATCTATATGTGTTCTCTATCCACATCTATAAATTGAATTTCATCAAGGAAACTTTATATGCTAATGCCTCAGAATAAAACATATATATTCCCTTTTAAATAGAGTTTGATTCTTTCAGAGGGAAAGTCAAATTGTTTGAGAGAGACTGACCATCAAAAATATAACAATCAGACATAAAAGATAATTGAAACATATTAAATAGATAAATACATAAAAAACCCTAGGGCAGGGTCTAAGTCACTTTCATTTTTTATCTCTGACATGTAGGCAAAGCAACTGCACATAGGATTCAAGGAGTGTTTGCACAACAAATGAAACTATTCTTCTAATGAATAAATATGACCTATTCACTAATTAAAAGCAAATTAAGTTATATATTTAAAAAATTAACATCAAAGTATATACCTTAGAAAACTAGTTTACAATTTTTACTTTTCAGAATACCAATTAAAGGCTGTATGATCAGATTAAGGGATATTAAAGAACATATTTACATCAACATTAAACTTAAATGCTAAAATTATAAAATTCAAAGTCTGGAGTTCTTTTTCTTTCTTTTTTTTTCCGCTTTCTGAGATGGAATTTCATTCTGTTACCTAGTCTGGAGTACTGTGACTCAATCTCAGCTCACTGAAACCTCTGCTCCCAGGTTCAAGGGATCCTCCCACCATGGCCTCCCAAGGAGCCAGGACCACACCCATTTTTTTGTTGTTGTTGTTTAATTTTTTTGTAGAGATGCGTTTTGCCATGTTGCCCAGGCTGATCTCAAACTCCTAAGCTCAAGAGATCCACCGGCCTCAGGCTCTCAAAGTGTTGGGATTACAAGCATAAGCCAGCACCTGGCCAAAGTCTTGAGTTCTGAAATGCCACTCATGTCATACAGAAGACTGGGTGAATTGAGAGTAGGAAGCATTGAAGCTATTTTTAGCTATTTCCTTCAACAAATGAGAAAACTTAAAGCACTTTTATCTTTACCTATGAATAAAACCCATGGAATGGATTGCATCCAATGCAAGAACTACTTCTGCAGTATAGAATCGTGCCCATTTTTCAGGCACATCATAGTTGCTCATTAAGTTTACAAGATCTCCACCAGGCATGTATTCCATCACCATGTAGAGATAACGATCATCTTGGAATGCATAAAAAAGCTACACAAATAGAAAAAACAACAAAACACATTCATTAATGTTAAAATTGTTTCCTTAAAAAGTGACAAAAATACTAATAAAATATTTAAGTATAATAATCAAATTACAACAGTGGCAAGTCTAGCTTTTTGGTTTTTTTTTTTTTTTTTTTGAGACGGAGTTTCGCTCTTGTTACCCAGGCTGGAGTGCAATGGCGCGATCTCGGCTCACCGCAACCTCCGCCTCCTGGTTAAAGACAAACATAAATGCCACAAAAACCCTTGTATATGCAAAAGGACTATAACCTGATTATTCAGAAGAGTTACATGGAGACATATTTTCTTTATAACTTTCTATACTATTTGAATATTTTACTGAGAATTTTTTTTTAACTATAACATTTTCAGTAAATATACAAATCTCCTAGGCAAAGAAATATTGTACTTCTAATTTAGCTTGTGCATGAAGTCTACTATTAAATTTATATCAATATCACAATGCTGAAGAAGTCTTTGATAAATTTGGCTTATAGTTTCAGCTGTTTCGTATTAGCCGTGTAACTGGTAATTTGCTTAACTTACCTGAGTCTCTATGACTATAATCTCTTCTTAAAAGACTGTAGGGACTATACTTTAACTTTTATACCTGCTGCTTAGTCAAACATCTGGATGCCTGGCAGTTAGCAATTGCTTAATAAAGGCGTAACGAACCAAATCATAAAGCAATCCATAAAGTAGAGGTGCACCTAACAGATTAACTGTCTTTCAAGGTTGAGGGATGTTAAAAAAGATTACTGAATATGGAAAGTTCTTAGTGCAACAGATGCTCAACAAATGACAGCAGTCAGAAGGAGCAGTAACAGCTAACACAGAAGTATGAGGAAGGCAGTGGCTAGGGTTAAAACAGTAATAGTAAAATCCACTAATGTGAAATTGGTGAGAATATCAGGCATAAATATATTATGTAACCAGGGACCAAATAAGAAGAAGTGCAAATGTATAAAATAGCATTTTAAGTAAAACAATAAGTTTAGAACCAAAACAAAAAACAAAAAAGCCCTAGAGAAGATGATCTCTAATTTACCCAAATGTTTACCTTAAAATCTTACTAATATTTCATTTTTTAAACAGTGTTTAATAATTTTAGTTATAGATTCAGTTACTTTACTTTTTTGCAGAGGTTGGGGGAGGGTCTCACTATGTTGCCCAGGCTAGTCTTGAACTCCTGCCCTCAAGTGATCTTCCTGCCTCAGCCTCTTAAAATGCTAGGATTACAGGCATGGGGGCCACCACATCTGGCCCAGACTCAGTTCTTTCAATGTAAAAAATATATTTGGGGGAAGAGAGAAGGATAAGAAAGTGCATTTCATGACTATCCCAGATTAAAGTATACTATTTGTCATTTGGGCTCCATAAAGAAATATTGTTAATTTGGTGACGGTTTTACCCTATTTATAGACAATATATTCAGAGAGATAAAGCTCTGAATACCTAAACTGCAAAACGCACTGAAAGTAACAAGTATGTCATATATCTTTTAACAGTCACTGAACATTAATTTACCAGTGGTTGTTAGCCAGTGGTGAACACATTTTTGGTCGTCTCAACTGGTGTGTGGGGTGGAAAGAATTGCTACTGGCATCTCCTGTGTAGAGGCCAGGAATGCTGCCAAACATCCTAAATAAACACACTAGTAATTGGAATAATGTAAAGGATAGCCCCTGACAACAAAGAATTATCTGGCCCAAAATGTCAATAGTACCAACTATCTACACAGTTGATAAAAACGTATCAGACATTTCAAGTTTAGAAGTGCTATGGCATAAACCCTCAACATTTTCCATATCCTTTTAATTCCAATTACTGGTATGCTTTTTAAGGACAGTCTTCATTATATATTATAAATCAATCACTCAATCAATCACAAATACATGTTAGAAAAAATGGTCTAGCCCAGTTTAACTTCCCCCATATAAAATTTTACATTAAGGACCTCAATATATAAGACAGATAAAACAGGAAGCTGAACTCACAAAAGCAGAGAGAAAACTCAGAATTATAATCTACCCAAAACTCCACTTGACCCCATGACTTTTGCCTAAGGTACCTCCACGATTGAACATAACCAATCAAAGACAACTTTCACACTTATGAACAAGGAAGCTGTAGCCCAGAGATGTTAAGTAACATGGCCACAGCTTCAGAGAAAGGCCTATGGCAATCAAGACTAGGACCTATAACTACTGTCTTCTAGTGTATTTTTCTTTCTACTGAAAACCTACAGACAAGTATTATTTCGTGACCTAGCTTAACTCCATTTCCTCTCACTTTCCCTTCATTTCCCTTATTATCTCCTCTTCACAAAATAAGAGACAAATAAATGAGGAGACAGTTAAATAAAATGAGAACCTCATGTTTTGGGAAAAAAATTCAATATTTAATTAAAGTATCTATTTAAATTTTAATAATATATGACTTCCCTCAAATCTAAGTAGATTAAGTTTTCTCTATCTCCTGTATTTCAAAATATGGTATTTAAAATTGTTTAAATTTTACATTTATTTTTTATTTTTATTTTGAGACAGGGTCTCACTCTGTCACTCAGGGTAGCGTGCAATGATGTGAACACTGCTCACTGCAGCCTCGACCTCCTGGACTCAAGCAATCCTCTTGCCTCAGCCTTCCCAGCAGCAAGGACCAAAGGTGTGTACCTAATTTTTTAAATTTTTTATAGAGATAGGTGTCAACATATTGACTAGGCTGGTCTCAAACTCCTGAGTTTAAGCGATCTTCCTGCCTCGTTCTCCCAAAGTATTGAGATTATAGGCATGAGCCAACATGCTTAGCCCAAATTCTACATTTAAATTAAATTTTCTATATATAAATTCTACAGAAACATAATTATTCTGTTTTGACCTTTCTTTCTAGAAATGATTCAATAAAATTAAATTTTAAGATTTAAAAGGTAATTAGACAACTTTCTAACTGCCAGTAAATTCTCTATTACTATTCTAAAAAACTAAGCTTCTCAGATGTTTAGTTACAAACTAATATAGCAATAATGAAAGAGTAGCAAAATCATACCTGAACAACCCAAGGACTGTTAGCAAAAGCCATGATGTCCCTTTCTTCCCAGAAAAAAGCAGAATCAGATCTCTTAATCATTTCAAATTTGCTGAGAAGCTTCATAGCATATACCTTCCTGGTGGATTTATGCCTTACCTTTAAAATTGAAAACGGAAAATATGAACTTTTTGTTAACAGTTAAAGCTCAAGGTTTCACAGAACAATTTACTAGGCACTTTTAATACCTGTTAAATAATTTAACCTTACTGTTTTAGCTATTTTTATTTCTTCTCTTCTGCCAAATTATTCCAAGTAGCTAATGTCAAGACTTTAATTATCGGAAGTAATGTTTTAAAACAACCTTTATTTCCTATAAGATACGTTTACCCCCCACCCTGCTATTTTAAGCTGCTTCCTGTTTATGAAGCTTATTATTTATATAGCATTTTAGTCTAATATTAGGAGCAAAGATTTATCTTCGGATGCTTGAGACTTCTCTGCCATAGATACTTCGGGAAAACACTTCCCACTATGGCTGGATTTGACACTAGGCTTTCATACCCTTAGGCAACAATGTCTAAAGAAACTTAAGAATTCTATAAAAACAATATTTTCCCAAATAATATGTTAAACACACAAGTGGATTATTTTAATTTAATAAAGTCCTTTTGTAATCTCATTAAAATAACCTACCAATTGAACTTCTCCAAATGCACCTCTACCAATCACCTTCACTACTTCATAATCTTCAGCTTTCATTCGTAAATCTCTAATTTTATTTATTGTGTCTTTATCTGTATGAAAAGAAAAGTTTATCATTTTAAATCACTAAAGCATTATAACTACCACTACTTATTTACATTTGAGTTCTTGAGAAACACAATGAAAAACAACAAACTTAATAATTAAGAATTATTTGAAAATATGGTAAAACTTGAAACTATAAAATAAATGTTCAATGTGCTAAGATTTTTTTAAATAAATTCCAGAATAACTTCATTATAGCTACTAAAGGGTTTTCTAAATATGACTTAATAGAATGTTTTAAAAACAAATATTACACTACAAACAAAAACTGAGAATAATTAGCTAATTAGTTCCTAGTATTTTAAGTACACATCAAATTTGAATTTAGAAAATGTGATTAAATATTTTAGATTAATACTGGAATAAAATTTTCTTTTCATAGGGTCAGTTTTAGTGATCCTTTAAAAAAAGACATAATTTAAGATATTAAAGGCAAATACACTTAAAAAAAAATCAGTTAAATTTTCCAACTGGCAATCTTTAATATTTCTATCATTACATTTCTCTGTTTGAACCTAGATTTTAACTTGAAACACACAGTGAAAAATTACTGCAATTATTTATATAAACCTGTCATACTATAAACTATAATAATTCACAAATCCCCACTGGACAGATATTCTAATTCCTAATTTGGTCATAGATTAAAATTGGGCTATTTTAATCCACATGGGTCAACACTGGCATGAGATTACATGGAAAAGCTTCACATTTCAGAACAGCTATTAAACTTCAGTTCTAGTTCCTAACAAGAGCTGCATTAATATTCTTGTTTTTCTTTTCAAATGTACATTTAAAATCAAATGTTTGTGTATTTTATGACCAATAAATAATGCAACAGAGAGCAAATTTCTACAGTTATATTTCATTTTAATATCCACTGCAAGAAATCAATTAATTCACTGCACAAATATTTGTATCTCCCATACATCGGGCTGTACAACATTGGAGATAAATAAAGGTAACTTTAAAAAGTAGTTCCTACCTTTAGGAGTTCAAACTCTAGTAAATGAAACAGAAACAAACAATGAAAAAAATTTCAAAAAAATGTAACAAGGAAAATAAGCATAGAGTGTTCTGAGTCCTAACCAAAGCCCGCCAGGGTGAGAGATAGCTAGGAAGACTTTCTGGAGATGATGATATCTGAAACAAGTCTAAACTGAATAGTAGTCATTAGCTAGGTGATAGAGAATGAAAGAAAGAACAGACCGGGCATGGTGGCTCACACCTATAATCTCAACACTTTGGGAAGCTAAGGCAGGCAGATTGCATGATTCCAGGAGTTCAAAAACAATCTGGGAAACATGATGAATCCCTGTCTCTACAAAAAGTATTTTTTTAAAAAATTAGCTGGGCACAGTGGCAGTTCCCTGTAGTCCCAGCTACTCAGGAGGCTGAGGTGGGAGGATCACCTAGACCCAGGAGGCGAAGACTGCAGTGAGCCGAGATCACACCAGTGCACGCCAGCCTGGGCGACAGAGCAAGACCCTGTCTCAAAAAAAAAAAAAGAATAAACAAACAAAATAGGCAGACAAGCAACATAAACTAAGCACAGTGGAACTGTATTTAAGTTCTATGTTGCTGGAGTATCAAGTTTGTAGTAAGGACTGACAGAAGAGGCTGGAGAGCCCCAAATAAGTTCAGGCGCTTGAACTTTACCTGTCAGCCAGTAGTTATATTAACAAAATTATTATTTAAGTATCAAAACTGTTTTCACATTAAAGTTTAAAGTAGCTCGCTCTATAAAATAGATCAAAGAAACTGCTCTATTCTAAAGGGGGTTAAAGGTGTCAGACAAGAGATAGAGCCTCATCTACTTTAGGCTCTTCCATAATACAGCCCTTGAGGAATCCTTTGGAATCGGCTGGGAACTGAGAAGCACCACTACTACGGGAAGGTACCCATGAAAGGAATTACGGTGGATAAAACAACATAGACAAACTTACACTTCAGGAAAACTACACTAGGGAATTTGCAGAAGATGAATTCAATAAAGGCAAGACAGGAGGTGGGGAGAATTTTCAGAGTATTGTAATACCCCAGATGAGATAGAAAGTTCTGAACCTGGGTTATAGCCTGTGGGGCTGAGAAAAGATTCTTGGCTCTAGTTATATAAGGTTTCGAGCCATAAATAGGCTGTAAGTCATTGGAAATCTAAAAGATCTTTCTATGTTCTACTGCCTTGGATTTTAGCTTGTCCTAATGCAGGTTTACATGCTAGTAAGTATAAATGCCTCTGTTGGATGGCTTTCAATCAAACTGAGTTTCTATGGCTCTAATTTTCCTGGTTCATCTCGCCAAGGGTCCAACCTAGAACTAATCAAGAACTTACTGGTAAAAGTCTAAGCATTAGGCTTTCGTTTCCCAAACACTCAGGACTATGTATTCATACCCACCCAAGTCTCAGGATCCTAAACAGAACCCTATCTATTGTAAAGTAGTCAGGCAGGAGATCCACTCCTGGTATACGGGTACTATATAGCCTGATCTTTGTAGGCTAATGGCTTAATTGAGACAGAAAACAATGCCTGCACTACAACAGGGGTCCCCAACCCATGGGCAGACCTGTACTGGCTCATGGCCTTTTAGGAACTGGGCTGTACAGCAGGAGGAGAGCAGTGGGTGAGCAAGCATTAACATCTGAGCTCCACCTCCTGCCAGATCAGCGGTGGCATTAGATTCTTACAGGAGCTTGAACCCTACTGTGAACTGCACATGCAAGGAATCTAGGTTGCACACTCCTTATGAGAATCTAATGCCTGATGATCTGAGGCGGAACAGTTTCATGAAACCATCCCATCTGCCACCCCCCAACCCCCACCCTGTCCACTGTCTTCCACAAAACTGGTCCCTGTACCAAAAAGGTTGGGGACTGCTGCTCTAAAGAAAAATAATAAGTACACAAATAAATATGTAACTTAATTTCACATTGTGATACATATTCTCAAGAAAATAAGACCAAGCTTTCCCAAGTCTGTAAGCACAGGCTATACACATAGGCTAATTCTTCAATCACTTCAAACTCTGCATTGATTCCTCAAATAAACACAAGTCAAGGAAAACAACTCAAAATTGTTTTTTTTAATTGACTACTGATACTACTCCCAATGCCCTCAATTCTTTGAGCAGCCATTCTTGCCCAAAGGCTAACAGTCTTAATCAAGTTTTTCTCTCTGTACACATTTGTTTGGCTGCTGCAATCACAGACCATCACTGAACAGCTCTCTCTGCTTGGCTCATGGATAAGCCACTGGTACACTACATAACACTGTAGCCTCTTTTTTTTTTTAAGTCTGTGTTTCTTATGATCATTTTTCTTTATGAATAAATTCTACTGGGATGAGACACTCTGTTTTAAACATTCTATTTTTTTCTGAGTGCTACTGTCCTATGAGTCAGGAAGATCTTACTGAGTGCTTAGTCTGGGAATGTCCAATGTATACCGTAATCCTTTAGCACAGTTATACTGTCTCTGCATAATTTTTAAAAAAATGCTTTGCCACCTAACTTGATAAAAATAATCCTTACTCCATTGTGCTTCAAAAGGACAACATTTGGGCTGGGCATGATGGCTCACATCTGCAATGCCAGTGCTTTGGGAGACAGAGGAAGGAGGATTGATCAAGGCCAGGAGTTTGACATCAGCCTGGACAACATAGCAAGACTTGTCTCTACAAAAAATTTAAAAATCAACCAGGCCCATGGTGGCATGCATCTATAGTCCTAGCTATTTGGGAGGCTGAGGCAAGAGGACTGCTTGAGCCCAGGAGTTCGAGGCTGCAGTGAGCTATGAACATGTCACTGCACTCCTACCTGTGCAACAGATTCTTAGGGGAGGACAAAAAAGGACAATATTTGAAGTATACTTTTCTCTTCTTGCTTTGACACAATGTGCATGCACCGGTAATAAAAAATAAATAAAATGTTGTGGTATTGTGGTACATATAGCACTCAAAACTGTCAAGCTGTAACAGCATCACTGTGATTTCTGCTGTGCTGAGTGGCAGTGTGAAGCAAGGAGAGCATTACATATGGTCTCTGTTGTAGCTACTCAGCTTAGCTGTTGTAGAACAAAAGCAGCCATACACAATACATTTTTTAAAGTGTGGCAACATCCCAAGAAAACTTTATTTATGAACATTAAAATCTGATTTTCATATTATTTCACATTCATGATATATTATTCTTTTGACTTTTTTTTAATCATTAAAAAAATACAAAAAAATATGCTTAGCTCATGAGCCATAGTGGTGGGTCAGATTTGGCCTGTGGGCTGTAGTTCACCAACTCCTGCTCTAATAAAACCCAGCAGCCCTCAGAGGACACTGCTTCCCTACAGCTCTCAAGTGGGAACCTTTACTTCTCCCCAGGCCTTAGACTACTGACCCTGAAAGTGGAATAGATGAACTCCACTGCTATCTCCACATCCCCCACCCCCAAATCTGCCAGCTTTGATTTTCATTGTATTAGGTTGTATTTCCCACCTCTCATTGTTGCTGTAATCCACTGACTCTCAGAGGTCACCATGTCTCGTTGCTAGACAATTTTACTTCCTGATTTACCAAACTTCTCTCCAATATTCTCCTGTTTTAATTATTAATAACTTTAATATACCCACAGATAATGCTTACAGCTGCTCTCAACACCTACACTTCTCACCTTCAATGATTTTGTCCTCCACCTTTACATTACCTTGCTCACTCATTTCCATGGTCATATAGTAGACCCTGTCATTACTAGTAATTATAATCTTCCCACAATTTCAATTAGAAAACTTACACTGTCTATTACTCTCTTATAGCTTTCCTGCTTAGTTCCTCTAGTATCTTAACTCCAACAACACCCCAACCCCACCAGGACCTCCAATACACTGATCCTACTCCATCCATACTTTTCCTCATTGTACTGATAGCCTCTCTTTCCTACCTACCCAGCTTAAATTACATGGTCAATTATTATCATCATTCACTTGCATATACCTTTAATG